GATGATAGGCTTAGGTGAGTAGACCGGGTATGTGGCCCAGGTAGCACCCCTTCATCATATGGATAGGAGTAGTGGCATATGTTGCCAAGATGGCGGATTCAAGCATATTGTTGTAATACTTTGTAAGGTCCTCGAAAATAATCAATAAAGTGGCCGGGGGTCATCCTCTTCTAAAAAAAAAACTAGATTTTACTAACCCACAGGTGCTCACAGATTGAGTCTCCTCTGGATGCAATCCATACCACGAAGCTACTTCCCCGACAGGGTTCTAAGCTTACAGTACGCAGAACTATCTAGTACAAGTTTATTAGATCAACAGTGCCAAGCACATGCCACGTTTTCCAAGAATCAAACGGCAAGCAGCACTATCTACGAGTTCCAATTCCGCTCCAGATTTTCAAAAATATCGCCTGCCTATAGAACGCAATCATCCGAATTACGGCCGAGAGCAAACGAGAAAGGGATAGAGGTGCATACGGCGGAGGAGATCGGCGATTTTGGTGCAGGCAGCCTCGCTCCGATCCGCGCCGGGTCGTTCCGCCCCCGCTTCCCCCTCGTTCCCCGCGCGGCCGCCTTCCTCATCGTCGTCCTCATCGTCTTCGCTGTCGCTGTCGCTGATGTCGACGTAGCTCTCGCCGCTGTCGCTGACGTCGACGCAGCTCTCGCCGCTGTCGCTGATGTCGATGTAGTCTTCGTCGCTGCTGGGCTCCTCCTCCGACGACGACGACGACCCGGACTCTTCGGATCCGCCGGCATCGGAATCCGAGGAGATGTCGATGGGCGCGTGGCCCTCTTCCTCATCTGCCGCCACCGCCGCCGCCGCCGCCGCGGCGCGCCCTCTTGTTACCGGCATCGCGGCGTCCTTGCGCGCCACCGGATTGCCTTCCGCCGCGCCGCCGTGCCGCCGCTTTGCCCCTCGGCCTTCGCGTTTTCCCCCTTTTGGTTGCCTCGGAGAAAAATGGAAAGGCGGATTTATATGATTTATATTGCCTTGTCAGACCAGCAACGTCTGCAGCCTCTCCACAAGTAACGTCACTTTATAAGTTCCAGAAATTCAAATTTTGAATGAACGGCCGTTGGGTTGGGACATTTGGATTGACGTGTTGCTCAGAAGAAAGCCTCAACGGCTCAGATCAGAGCTTAGCTTGCCAATGCCATGGTAGCTGTTTTGGTAACTTCTCCATCCGTCCCATAATATGCTTAGGAGACGTGACTCCTTTGACGTACGGATCACACACTGATGTATGGATCCGGACCCATCCATCAATGACCCAACCTTAGGGGGGCGTACGTCAGCGGATCCCGGCTCCACGTATTGGAGGGAGTAGTAATATTTGGACTAAATTTTAGCAAAACTAGTTGTAGAGATTTTTAGAAAAAGCAGTTTTAAGTTGTTGTTTTGTTCAAGCTAGTCGATCGAATACTTTGTTTGGACTTATAAACTTCAAATATGGCCGTCAATGAGATAAGAGTATTAAATAGATTTTCATCTCTAGTTTTCTCTTCTCTCCGATTTTCTGTCGTCGCTGGTCTCTCTCTCTCCCTTAACGAGCACACATGTATTGCCGACGAGGCCCTCATGGTGCCAACACTCAGATACCTTCCTGCTACTAATGCATCAAATGTGGTCGAGCACGATGCCTTCTCCGTCACACCTCGAGAGTGGAAGAAGCGGACGACGGTGACATGTTATCAAGATGATGACCATCAAGGGACGATGGCAGTTGAGTCCTTCAAGGGCCAAGGGCGGTGTTGCATGTTGTGGTGGCAAAATCGATGTTGAATGCTTCAAGGGGCAAGGGCGGTGTTGCATGTTGTGGTGGCGAGATCAACGTCGCCAGAAGAACCTCACATATCCGGGACTGGCTTTTGGGATGACGAACCCATGACTAGGGTTGGTTCACAGGAAGTGAGTTTTTGAATATTAGTAGACTATCACAAAACGTAAAAGTATGAGCGTAGGCAAAATCGGTTGTAATGATAGTTAGAATAATTATGGTATCTAAAGAGAATTGAGAGCTTCTCGCAAGTCTCACGTGCCATCTTCCCCAAAAAAAGTCTCACATGCCTTAAGCGTGCGTTTGGTTTGAGCTCAATTTCACCCTACCAAGTAAATTAGCCACTCAAATTTTTGGTGATTTGTTTTAGGGAACATCATTGCACTTTATTTTCGATGACGTTCAAAGGGATTGTTACAAATATCAAGTGGTGCAACTAGCCAAATATGGCAACCAACATCTAAAGATAATGAGAATTTAGCTACACTATCCGCCTTATGTTTACTCTTGCGACTTCCATAGACAACACGATAGTACTCGAAATCCCTTGCACAAGCAATGATTTCCCTGACAATGGCACCATGCCTTCCTCCTACATTTCGATATATCCTGCTCAACGGTTGCACAGTCGGAGGCGTTGGGTAAGTGTTTGGCAGCAGATCATCCGCTAGAGCTTGAGCTTCTCAGCGGGCTAGGGCTTCAAATGTCGTGTCGATCATATGCTCAGGAACTTCTTCATTAGACAGAACCCAAACACATCTCAACATCGAGCAGTCAATCAAGGAATGATGTCGTGAGTCTTGACAACCACATAATGAGCAATTAGGAGTGCTAGACATATTTCGATGGTGAAGAAGATCATAACATGTGATCGGCTGTTGGGCAAGTCTTCGTAAACACACCTTAATGTTTGCATTTCTACATCTCATCTATGAGCTCACATACGATGCTAGCATTTCCATTTGTTCATGTGGTAATTGGCCTCATCGTCCCTTGTCGAGGAAGCCAATTGTGACACAATATTTCAGTGGAGGCTCCGTCATCTATTCTTTTTATAAGGCCATGGGCTAGAATATCACGTACTTTAATGATTGATCTCCTGATTTATGATGAGTGAGAGCCAAGATTCACATCAAGGATTGAGCTATCTGGATAGTAAACCGTTTTCAATATTCTGGCACTCAAAGAACTAGGTTCTTCCAATAATCTCCATGCTTGCCTTGCTAGACACGCAAGGTTAAACAACTCGAAATCACGAAAACCTAACCCAAGCCACTTTATGTTCACCTCCTTTACTTCGCCACCAGTATTTCCCTATAAGAGTGTTAATATACTCGCAAAGCCCAAGTGGGAGTTTAAAATAGAACATAAAATAAACCGGGATAGTTTGTACCACCGACTTGATCACCACATATTTTCCCCCAACAAACAATAAATTTCCAAGCTAACCTTGAATCTTGTAGATGTGATGTTCTCAGCTCGAGCTCAAATGAGCTCAGGTGAACAATAAAATCACCCAAAAAAAACAAATTCTATTTTTTCTGTGTCAAACATTGACAATTGTTCTAAGTACTTGTAAAATTTCATCATGGAATAACATTTGTGCAAGTCGTGGAAAAAGAACAAAATCAATGCTGCAAAAAAGTTATTTTCAAAAGCATTTTACATTGCTAATTTTTTTTATTTTATTGCCACGACTTCCACAAATGTCATTCATGATGAAACTTTGCAAGCATTGAAAACATTTGTTAAAATTTATAAAAAATAGTTTTTTCAAAAATTTCAGACTTTATTGTTTGAGCAGTTTTAACATGCTCCCTCTTACCCCTCTTTTCTCATGAGAGGTAAAAGTATATAATAAATCTGAGCTGTTGATCTCATTAATTAGTGATCTAATTAACTCTTACCTTCTTACCTTAGATGTAAGGTCTCCTTTGGTTTGGAGGAATTTCATAGGAATTTTAGAGGATAGGATTCTTATAGAATTTTTTTTCTTTTAGAGCCCTTTGATTCATAGGAATAGATTCCTATTCCTATATAGGATTGGTTCCTATCCTTCACATTTCATAGGAAAATAAAAATGAGCCTAGACTCAATGAAAAAATTCCTTTGGTGTCAACCAAATGACATCTCGTTTCCTATTCCTATTCATAGGATTTGAGATACATGTCATCTCATTTCCTACAAAATTCCTATTCCTACAATAATCCTATCCTATGAATCAAAAAAGGCCTAAAAAGAGAGGGTAAGAGGAAGCATGTTAAAATTTGTCTTACTGTTTATACCGAGCTCACATGAGGTCGAGCTGAGAAGGACACTTTTGGAATCTTGCTCCATATTTCCATGCTTCAAGTACTTGAAGGTCTCACTATTTGACTTGCCCACCTCTAGCAGTTTGAGGGCAACCCTTGCTAAAAAAACACCTATGATTTATCAAGATTCACCCTACGATCAAAATTTGAGTGAATGTTTATCTTCCTGATGAAGTGACCAATATTGACAAAAAATGCCAACTATCCAAACAAATCAAGGGCAAAAAATTTGGCTATAACCAAAGAAATGGTAAGGTCCGTTTCAGACACCAACCAAACATATCACGAGTATCAGCCATACAAAAATGAAATCAGTGCTCTTGTCCATGCGACGATAGACAGCCATACAAAAATGAAACCAGTGCTCTTGTAAATGCGACGACAGCCACCCATCCTTCACTCGGCACAATAAGGCCGTAGGGTAAAATCAGAGTCAGACAATTAGGAAGAACGTTGAAGCAAAACCGGGTGAGCAGCACAAAATTCAAGCATCTTCAACTCAATCAATATAATGGCACACTGACGACAAAAGGGCGACTCTGCTCCAGTTACATGAACGGGGGCATTTTACAACGCTGCCCACAGCGACAGGACATGGCTGGGCGGGCTATTCTAAGAGACTGTTAGAGGCATCACATGTTGCCGAGACACGGGTGAAATTTCCTTTTCCTAACCTACTAAAAGATGATGCTGGTGAACTTTGAAGAAGACGGTGGTGATCAGTACACGGGCGACCGCAAACAGAACTCTATATTCAGATTAGTGGCAAAACCAGGCGGGTTCTAGCGCAGGCAGCGTCATGTCGTGTCATGTTGACCTCGGTGTGCAGTCTTGGCCTTGCTTGCTAAGTTGGGCTGGGGCTGGGGCTGGGGCAGCATAAATTTGTACTGTCGTTAGAGATTATCAACAGCTATCTCATCTTTGACAGGGACCTGCTGGACATGCCATGCAGCAACTTGACAAACCCGAGGAAGCTGAGCTTCCCATCGGTGTGCCGGATCCAGTCCTGTAGAACGACATGCAGCGGCACGGAAGGGCTGAGACCCAGTTCCTGAAACACCAAGTAGCATCATAGGAAATGTGTGAAGGGACTCCAAATTTATCAGTTAGAGAATGAAAATAGACAGGGAGGAAGATATCACGTACTGAAGCTAGCTCGTCGATTACAATGGCTCGATTGCCATCCTTCTCGAAAATTTCATAAGCGGATCTCGCATGTTGCTCCCATCTGTCTAATGCTTCAAGCTGGTGAACACTTACTGCAGCTGCACAGAACTCGTGGAAGTCCATTCTTCTGTACTGAAGAGCGCTCAGCTGAAAAGACAATTCAGGTATACCGTGAGTACAGTTTATGCTGGATGAAAATTCTGTCTTTAAGATCAACAACATAAGTAATGTACCGAGACAAGAATCTCCTGAACTCGTGTTTCTTTCATCGCATCAGTGGCTTCTCTTGTTAAGGCCTAAAAAGGAAGGAAGAGGAGTCAGCAAGGGGGTTCAAAATGAATGGGAGAGAACATATCAGAGCTCTATGACGAACCAACCATTCTGATATTATCTAGCGTGATACATCCATTTCTATCAGGCTCTAATAAGGAGAACTGCCCTTTGAGATAAAAAAGCTCATCAACAGTCAAAGTCTTCGACAAAGCCTGTAATGGATCAAGAAAGATACATCAACGGCTGCAGCTTGCAGAGGAAAGTAAAAGCGGTCAGCCATAGGTATCAAAAGAATATTTTGACAGCACCACTTTGAGGTTCAAATAAAGTGGCATCCCCTCTTTATGCTATTTTAACAGGAGAGAATTGCAAACAAATAGAACTGTACAAGCATTTCATTTTGGAACTTATAAAACCAATGGTACAAGAAGTAGGCGTCCAATTTTTTTAATGAAAATTATACACATGTAATGATATTGATCAGGAATTTGTACAAGGCATGTGGACTTGAAAGTATTAAACATCTAACAAAATACTAGGTTACTGCACAACCATTCAAAGCCTTGAGTAGAAAAAATGCTGTAATATAAAAGCAAGTCCAGATTTGAAGCAACAGCATATATCTATGTGGAACAACAGGAGAAAAAACAGAACAGGTTTTATCAATGCAGACCTTCAGAGCAGCTTTACGTAACGATGAAGAACGAATATAAGCTTTGATAAGACGAAATATAAGGACGTCCAATGGCATCTTAATGTCATTGTAATTTCTAATCCATGGATGACCTGAAAAACATGATATAAGGCAGAGTTAGCAATGTAAGTTTAAACTGGATCCATACATACAGACTGAAACTCACCTAAAGCTTGTGCTGCAGTCATCCTTCTACGTGGATCCTTGCATAGCAAGCGCTTAACGAAGTCCATTGCTTCTGGAGTCAGAGAAGGCCAAGGTGCCTCATTATAACTGGGGTCAGCTTTGAGAACAGAACGAAATATGCCAGATTCAGTGCGTGCCCAAAAAGGGCGGCTGCCACAAAGGAGGATATATGCAATGACACCGATACTCCAGACATCCGCTTCTGTGCTATAGCATCTATGCAGAACTTCCGGAGCAACATAATAAGCACTTCCAACGATATCATTTAGTCTCTCATCTGCATAAGGTATTAGACCACTGCATTAAAAAAGTGCTAGTGGATAGTATTATCTTCACTGATGGCAAGTACAAATCAACAAATTAACAGATATGCAGATTGATGAGCAAGAAACTAACCTGGTTTTACAAAATCTGATAATCCAAAGTCAATTGTCTTAAGTTGAGAGTTCTCATCTTTCGAAGTAAAAAGAAAATTCTGAAGAGAAAAAACACAACATTTTAGAAATCCATTGCAATGTCAAATACAAAAACAGTAAAATTAGATCTTATTCACAGGAGAAGAGAAAGGCAATACAATAAATACACCATCTAAGGAATGTCATGAACAAATTATACGTCCTTTGGAACAGTGTAATTTTTTTTCTTTCAAAAAGGAGGTTCGAACATTGGAAGTAGAAACAGGTAGCCATCGCCATTTGCCTTAAAAGTCATGGCTTGTTTACCAGCACTATTTAAATCATCACTTTCTAATATCTCAAACATGGTAATGATGACAACTGATGAGATGCAGGTAAAACTGAACTTCACCTCTGGTTTGAGATCCCTATGAACCACTCCCTGAATGTGGCAAAAAGCGACAACATTCAATATTTGCACCAGGACAGACTTTGCATCATCCTCGGAGTACTTTCCACCTCTACTTAAAATGAATGCAAAACATAAGCTATATTAAAGTATTTCGTAATAAACCATGATGTTGTATAACATAATGTAAGTTTACTTGTAGCTTACCTGGAAAGTATTCTATCCAGAAGCTCCCCGCCCTCACACAACCTAAACAACGGGATTTTTAATTAGATATTAAAAAAACTAAACATGGCGTGGATGGCATTTGAAATCCAGAATAGAGCGTACAGGGATCACTATCAGCGGAAGGTATAGAAGCTAAATATAGATGCCAAAAAACAGATGCCTAATATAAGGCAACATTCAACGACCTGTAGTAATGACATCATCTGGATTTGGCCATATCTAGAAATCCTTTTTATTGGCAAAATATTTGTTGTCAAGTTTGGGCAATTGGGCGGGAAAATAAAAGAGTATCCAGTTGCACTGCAAGCATATTTAAAACAGTGTGGCCGCCCCAAATGGCATTAATGTATGTTCATTTTCATCATGCATTATCAAGTGATAACTGCTCAGATTATTTAAATTGCCAGTAACTAACCTGAGAACAAGAACTAACGTAAGAACAAGAACTAACCTAAGAACTGAAAAGGTAACTAACCGTCCAGACATATGGATGAAATAACATATGGTTGTTAACTACATTTTTAAGCACACAAGATAACGCATTATATGCTTCTGAAAGGTAATTATTGCCGCATCAGCAATAAGTAGATCAAAGAATCTTAATAAAAAGGGACTGTGGAAAACTATTGAAGTTGCGTCAATAAAATGGAACTGATTATTCAGTGAGTTTGTTTTCTATGCTTGTAGTTGAGAGTGTTGATAACAAGAGCAAAAAGCTACTCTACTCTGCTTGACATCTTAAGGAGTGCATCCTCATAGCATGTGAAATTGAAGTCAAAACACATTGTGTGACTATCAAGGTGCTGGAACTTACTCCATGACTATGTAGACATTTTCGTTGTCCTCATATGCATCATAAAACTGAACCAAGTTCTTGTGTCCTGCCAAAGCCTTCAAAATTTTCACCTCCCTGCGGACATCCTCTATAGCAATGGATGTTGTCATCTGACAAGAGATTAGAGCAACTTCAGATGATACTAAAAAATGTACATAGGAGGAGTGAGGAACTAAGTTCATGCCTAGCAACGACACAATGATGGTATTAATCCTCAAGTAAGGCATTGAAATGTGGTGACCCAAACAAGGGAGATTGCAACTATGGAAAGATTAAACCAGATCGCACAGCCATGAAAGAGCGATAGGCAAAGTAGTTACGGAATATCAAGTGTAAACTCCATAACAAAAAATGACAGGACTTACTCAGATCTCATCATTCAAGTGGGTATATTTAATGTTTTACAGCACACAATTTAATATGTTACCTAGTACGTACCATGCAACAATGCTGAACGTAGAAGATCTCGTAATCCATATTATTCTTATATACAGGTATGCAGCATGTGATAAAACTAGATATTCTTTTCACAATGCACGATGTAGATCAATAGCATGTTAGTACATGAACCCATGATGTCAGGTTACATCTGTAACAAGGCACATCTACTCGACTACTCGTGTAGACAAGAAGGGGCCACGTTTCTTAAGAAATGAACAGGCATGCATCCAGTTCTCAAAAACTTTGATTAGACTATATTAGTGAGTGGTTGCTTTCAGGAACACATGCTTTACCTTTCTCTGTTCAACAAAATATGAAGGACATTTATACAGCATCAATCAAAACCGCAAACGTCATGAGAGTACCGAATTATCCAACAGAAATTCACAAATCTAAACTAGCGCGGCATCAACTTTCAGAAAAACTAGCGAACGGATCCGATATTTTTTATTTTTGAAGCGTTTGCAGAGGTTGCGGGTAGGTCGTCACCTTGGCCTTGGGGATGACCTTGACGGCGACGGCGTCGCCCTTGCGCGCGCCCTTCCTGATCCTGGCGGCGCAGGTGTATCCGAAGTGGCCCCTGCCGACCTCGTCCCCGAGGTCGTACTTGGCGGCGAAGCCCTTGTTGAAGCCGAAGCCCTTGTCGAGGCCCCTCCCGCCGTCGCCGTCCTCCTCGGGGATCGCCGGGCGCGGCGGGCCGTGGCGCCGCGCGAGCGCCTGGCGGATGTGCTTGGCGGGCGAGGGCGGCGGGAAGGGCAGGCGCAGGAGGCGCCGGGCCGGGGTGGCGGGCGCCGGGGACTTGGCGCCCGCCGGGGCGGGGGACCTGGAGGAGGCCCTGGGGGAGGCCGCGGAGGAGGAGGAGAAGAGGTGGTGCGCCGGGCTGGGGCTGGGCGTGGAGAAGGGGAAGAAGGGGGACGACGTCCAGTGCTTCTTGGAGGCCGGCGTGGCGGGCGCCGTGGAGGAGGGCGGCGGCGGCGTGGCCGGCGCGGGCGGCGGCGGGGAGGCCCCGTCGGCGTCGCGGGTGCGCGGCTTGGCGTGGCAGCCCCCCATGGCGGCGGCGGGCGGCGGGTGGGATCTGGATCGCGGTGGTGGCGCGATGGCGGTGGGGCGCGCGCTAGAAGGAGGG